ATTGCCTCAAGAGAAACGCTCCCGATCTAAACTGTTCCGTCGGCGGGATTACGGGGGGGCCGACGGAAGCGGGGGCGGGGGCCCTCGGCTGGGCCAGCGGCGCTGCCGCGCGAGGGGCAGCGCCACCGTCGCCTCAAACTGTATGCCGCGGCCGTGGCACGCGCGGCCCTGGGAATGCTGGCGCGGGCGCGGGCGCGGGCGCGTCGAACGGGCCCAAGACGTCGCCACGCGCGCGGGCCCCCCCTGCGGTTGCTGGCAATGGCCTCGCCTATAGGGCGCCTACACTCACGCACTTTCACCATCTGACCTGTAAAATCCGTCGTTGTGGGGGCTGGGATCGGTTTGCCACCGTTCATCCAAGACGCCCCCGAGACGCATCCCACGAGACCCCATCAGTCATCCGAGTCAGACCCGCAACCAAGGTACGGTGGCGGGATGTGCCGACAGCCATTCGATAAACATTCGTCGGGTGTTTTGACAAATGCCCTCCGTCTGCACACGTGGGTTCTCGCCCGTTCCCTCACGCGTGCCCGTTACCCTGTGACGTGCCCAATCCATTTGCATCAAGTGACAAGAATTGGCCCGAACTTGCCGGGACAATGGCAGCGCTGGCGCCGTCATATGCTGTGCAAACTACATGGGATGTGCTCACGTGGTACGATTCACAAAACAACAGCAGAAGGACGAGGAGCGACGGCCTAGGCTTGAGGAGGACATGGGGGCGGGAACGAAGGGCAGGAGAAGGACGCGCGGGGGCCGAGCCGCCAGCGCGGCAGCAGCAGAGGGAAGATGGCAGGGGGCAGGGGACGACGACGACAGTGACGGGAGGAGATCGAAGAGTGTCGTTTTTGTCGATAGTACGCTAAAGATGCAGCCTTGCCTGCGCCATGTCGCCGAGGCGCGCGAAAACATGTTTAAACCTGCTTGAAATTAGTGGTCGGGCGCATCATCGACGCAGCATACCAAGACAAAAGCGGTGGGATAATTGTTTGTAATGTTGGACTGGGCCGAAGCATTCGACAGGATCAAGCAAGACTGCATGTGCGACGCTTTGGGTCGTTTTGGTATCCCGGCAGATATGGTGGACATGATTCGATCAATTAATGAGAGGAGGTACTTCACTACATTGGACCATATAGGCACAACATAGATTGGATTAGATTGTACTTCCACTGAGAGACAACAGTAGGCGGGCATAGCACAAGAGTGCCCATTACCACCACATGGATTCATCATCGTTCAGAGCGTGATGCTTCAGGATGTTTTTGGCCAACTCGATCTACAAGAAGATCCGGCATATGTGGTGACGCGCGACATAATGTACGCCGACGATACACTTTTATTCGCACCACAAAACATTGATAATATGATCTTGACCATGGTCACAGAAGGACAGAAATACGGTTTGGAATTGAGTTCGGACAAAACGTTCCAAATGCAAATATCACCAGACACGATTATATCACGACCAGGCGGGGGCGTAATCAAGTCCGTCCGCGAAGCTGTCTACCTAGGAGGACTGATCACCTGCGATGGGAAGGTTGCCACAGAACTGACGCGAAGACTAGGAGAATGCACAAAGGTGTTCAAGCAGTTGGATAAGCTCTGGAACCACGCCTCGATTGGACAAACGGCGAAAGCGAACTATTTACACAAGTTGTGTGGTGAGCAAGCTGCTTTGCTATTTGGACTAAGTTTGGCTGCTAAAAGCAGACAGGGCACGCCTTGATGATTTCCACTGCAGGTGTCTACGACGCACTATCGGCGTGCCTCTCTCGTTCATCTCGAGAGTTAGCAACGCAGACATTCTGAAGAGAGCCAGCACGAAACCTCTGTCTGAAGTTCTTCTGGACAGGCAGGAGAAGGCGTACCTCAAGATTTCTGGAAGTGGACATCGTTCCCTGGTGCGGCAAGTTGTGTGCGAATCAGATGGAATACCAAAGTGTTGGGCGCGCCATCGACGACGTGGCAGGCCTCGACCGCAATGGGCCTCTTCAGTGTACGGTCTGAAGCAATATCGAGTTCCTCCCTCCCCTCCCCTTTCCTGGTTTGGCAGCACCCACTGTAAACTTGCTGTTCATGTTTTCCGCTCGGTTGCCAACGTCGCAACCTGCGTTTGCCAACGCGTCCTACCGGATGCACGGCCGAGCGAACGAGCGAGCGAAAAGTAATGCAAGAACCTCTCCTCCTCCTCCTTCTCCACCTCGTCTTCCCCTTCCTCCTCCTCCGCCTCCTCCTCCTCCGCCTTTCCTCCTCCGCCGCCTCTGGACCCCTCACAAGCTATCCCTGCACCCCTGCCGGGACTCTGACGACCCCGGAACTCGAAACAACCCCCTGGTGACAGAACAAGGCGTCACTCCGCTGGACCCCAGGGATGGCGAGCTCCCCTGGTGGTCCGCGTAAGACGTCACTCCGCTGACCCCCCAGCAGCCCTCGAACGTGGCGACAGTTTCGCAGATTGCAGCCCCCCGAGGGACGGCGAGGTCTCCTGGTGGTCTGC